CAGTCCGCTCCACTTCGAGGCAATTTACTGCTGCTATCTCCTTCTGCCTCCAGCCCATGCCTTGGCCTCTGATTGCCAGCCAGTCTGGGGCATAGAGGCCTTCGCTTCAAAGAGCAGCCTGCGTTTGGCGTCCTCTTGCACGAGGCACCCTGTCGCCCCAGCCCGCACTTGACCCCAACCTGACAGGCAGAGCTGAGCCTCAGGATTGTCCCCAGTGACACCAACCTTTGGGGTCCCTCGGTTCCCAGTGCTTCAGGCCTGCGTTCCAGAGTGCATCTCCCTCCCTGCTCTGACTTCACAGCGGAACTTAGAGCTGATTCGAGTGGCTCTTCACTGCCCCTTTGCCTTTTTTCCTAAGGGCCCGCGACGGCAGGCAGATTCCCTCTGGAGTTTGACCTCCATCGAGCCAGGCTCTGGAGAGAGTTGAGTAGTACTTGGAGGTGCTCTCAGAATGCTTAGTCAGGCATGGCCCTGGGGCCCCTTCCTACATTTTCTGCTCTGGAGCTCAAAATAAATACGTGTCCACCCTGCCCAGTGTGGAAGCCTAGGCTTACTGGGGAGCCTTCCTGCTTGCCTTCCTCCCAGGAGCCATCCAGTAACCCTTCTGGGACTGTCAGTATCAGGGACTGGGCAGAGGGCCAGGAGTGATGCTTCCTGGGCAACGTGTCTCTGGGTCCCTGCACAGGCCTGACTCAGGATGTTGACCACCAGGAGGCAGCAGAAGTGCCTCCCACAAGCCGGGGAATTTGGCTGCTGGCTAAGGCTGTCCAGGCCGGGTTCTGTGAGACTTGGTGTACCTGCAGTCTTGGGTAGTTTTGAAAGCAGGTTTGTTCTTTCAGGTATTTTTCACAGCCACTTTTTCCTAAATCTTTCTCACTCAATTATCACTACTCAAAGCTGTTTGAAAGTCAGTGGCTGGATGGCTACGCTGGGCTCAAGTCCAACATCTGCATGAGTCTCCTGGATCTTGCCACATGCTCCTTGCTGTCCCTAGGCTGTGTCACTGTGTCCTAAGCACCAGCACTTGGCCAGGAGGTTAGCAGCCACCCTGCACACACCCTCACACTCAGTGCCACTCACTGGCTCTCCAACACAAAGCTCCAGTGTGGGCTACTGTGGAGTTGAGGCCCCGTTAGCATTTCCAGCTCTATATTGGCCTGCGCACTGATCTCTCTCCAAGTCTGCCCCTACCCTAGCCTCCTACAGTGGCCCTTCCATTCCTAGACAGCCTTGAAGTCACCCTGATTCTACTCTGCCTCTGCCCCAAGTCTGCTGCCACCTGGCTAAGCTCCCTGACAGAGCCATTTGGAACAGCAAAGTAGCCCCTGTGTCCGTATGACCCTTGTCCTTTACCCCACCACAGAGCCAAGCTTCAATGCAGCAGCTAGGATATCACATATAACACTACCACGTCAGATCCTGCCCCCTGTAGGTTCTCCTTCAGAACCAGCTTTTGGCTCTCATCTTGCTGTTGAAAACTCTGAAGTTTATAGTGGCTAAAAGGGCCCCATACTGTCCCCTTATCATCCCCACTTCTATCCTCTCCTGCCTCGGCCAGCCACATGGCCTCCTGGCTGGGCCTCTCATGTAATAGGCACATTCAGCCTCAGGGCTTTGCACTGCCTGACCCCACAGACTGGAACATCCCCCGAAGGGCTCCACATGACTTCTCTCTTCTTTAATGAGTCCCATTCAGATTCCCTGCCTATCCCAATTCCCATCACCTTTATCTTGATGTTTTTTACTCCTCACTGCGCTGAACATCTGGTGTTTTTTGAGACAGGGTCTTGTAATGCATTCCAGGCTGGCCTTGAACCCACTATGTACTCCAAGCTGGCTTCATACTTACGATGATGCTCCTGTCTCAGCTTCCTGAGTGCTAGGTTTACAAGTGTGTGCGGCCATGCTCAGCAGTATGGAGGACCTTCTAACCAGAGATATAATTTAGTGGTTATGCTTACTGTTTCTGTTCTGAATCTAGTCTCTCCTCTAGCATGAAGGTACCATAGGGCAAAGATCATCCCTTTGCTTCCTCCTGTACTTAGAGGTGCTGCAAGAGTTCTGGGGCCTTAGGGACTCTCAGTATACATCCATAGAATGACTGGGGGTGGGCTTGGTGGTAGAACACTCACTCAGCTGCAAAAAACCTGAGTTCAAACCTCAGCACCGGGCTGGGGATTTAGCTCAGCGGCATAAGCACCTGCCTTGCAAGCAGGCGGTCGTGAGTTCAGTCCCTGGTACCGGTAAAAATGAAAAAGGCAAAAAAAAAAAAAAAAAAAAAAAAAAAACTATGTGTAAGTGCCAGGGGTTTAGCTCAGTAAATGCCTGCTTGGCAAACGGTAGGTCATGAGTTCAATCCCTAGTAACAAACAAACAAACAATGTGTAGAATAAATGAACTTCTTTTCAATTGAAAGGTAAATTGTGGGTGTGCGTGTAGGTGAGGAGGGTATGGTCAGGGGAACCAAGATGCTTCAGTTTCTGAAAAAAGTAGCCACAAGAAGGGCAGATGTGGTGGCACATGCCTGTAATCCTAGCACTCAGGAGGCTGAGGCAGGAGGGCTGCTTTGAGTTGGAGGCCAGCCTGTCCTACAAAATGAGTTCAAATCCAGTATGAACTGCATAGCAAAACACTGTCTCAAAAAAAAAAAAATCAACCACAAGGAAAACAATGAAAAGAAACATAGATGATGTTTGAGCTAGACTTTCTGGTTGCTCTAGTATGTCACAATTCTAAAAATCAACATTTTTCAATTTTTATTTTCAGGGGGTACTGAGGATACAGCACAAAGGTGCTTTATCACTGAGTTACATCTCCAGCCCTCTTTTTATTTTTCATCTTGAATCAGTGTCTCACTAACTTGCTCAGGTGGGACTTGAACTTGCTGTCCACCTGGCTCAGCTTCCCTAACTAGAGATTACAAGGCACGCACTACTAAGTTTGGCCAGAATAATTTTTTTGTTTGTTTTTTTGTCTTGCTATATAATTCAGGCTGGCCTTGAACTTGTGCTGATCCTCCTGCCTCAGCCTCCCAAGTGCCAGGACTACAAGTGTGTGCCACCGTGCCTGGCTTGGCCAGAATAATTTTTTAAAAGCACAAAGAAGTGAGAAACCTCCCAAAATTTTCAAGGCAAAGAACGTGCTGAATGATGCTCAAGGGTCTGAAATCCAGCCTCATGGCTGGAACTTGGCAGGGGCAAGGACACTTATTTTTTTTTGTACCAGGGATCGAACTCATGACTGCGCGCTGCACGCTTATGCCCCTGAGCTAAATCCCCAGTGCTTTATTTTTTAATATTTTTTTCTTTTCTTTCTTTCTTGCGCTCTCTCTCTCTCTCTCTCTCTCTCATCTTTTTGGGACAGGGTTTCTCTTTGCAGTTGAGTTTACTTGGTAGCCTTGAACTACTTGGTAGCCTAGGCTGGAGGCTCACAGTGATCCTCCTGCTTCAGCTTCCCATGTACTGGGTGTGTGCCACCATGTCCAGTCCAAGGACACTTGTTTTTACACAGATATATGAGCATATGGCTTTTGAATCTACTGGTGGCCACATTACCTGTCCCCATGCTGCTGGAGGCCTGACTTGACAGAGATGATCTCTGGGGCCAGTCCTGCCCCAGTTCCAGCTGTGAGCTGGAGCTACTATTAGCAGATCCCTCTAGTCTGAGGCCTGGAGGGTGGCCCAGTGCCTTGCTGCTGCTCTGTCCTATGCCTTCTGTATGTGGATGGAGTATGTGAAAAGACTCCCAGGGTCCATCCACAGAACCTCTATTGTGCACACACCCCAGGGGCTGAGTGTTCCCCACCTGATGGAGAAGTACTCAGAGATTCCTGAGAACAGCCTCACAACAGGGTACTCTGGGCTGCAGCCACCTCTAGGCCAATGTCCAGCTCTTTCCTGGGACAACAGAATTCCTGAGTGATTCTCCAGGCTGGAGTCAGGCGCCTGGGGACTCAGGAAGCTGCCCTCTGCTTGGCTGGCACTGCCATGGGCCAGGCAGCCACCAGCTTGAGGAAGTTCTTTCTTCAGGGCTTTCCCAAGCTGGCAGCTGCCTTGCAAGGGCAAATTTTACTTTTCTTGATGTCCTTTCTTCAGTGGGCTAGCCTGGTGCAGGGTCTTTCCTAATGAGGTTTTGTTGCCAAGGCCTAGGCAGCTCATTCTGCGGTGCTACAGCTGGTCAGACCGGGGCAGCTTCCCAGTTCATTCAGGCAAGGCACCTGGGCTGCCTGCCTGCCTGCTCACAGACCCCGCTGGACCTTGAACTCCCTCTTCCCCAACATACCTTTATTTGCAGTGGATTTTGCTATTAATAAAAAGATCAAGGGGTTGAAGGGAGGGCAGGGGAATGGGGAAAAAAGAGGTTATATCCTATACAGGTGCAAATTCTCTGTGATTAATGTGATCATTATGTATATCTAAAATGTACCAATAAAATCTGATTTTAAACAAAATCCCTGAACTTTTGTTCCCAGATTCAGGACATGAACAGGGAGTTGACTGGGCAGCCTGCAAGCCAAGGGAAAGCAGGGGGCCTTTCCTGGGGCTTCTGCAGAGCTCAAACCCTCCGTGAAGCCGCTGAGAATGCGCCTCACGTTGTCTCCTTCCGTAGGCCTCTCTCCGTCGGCTTCCTGGGGCCTCATTAATTCCTCCCCACCTCACCCCGTGAGAAAGCAGGTCTGTGCTGAGTTTGGCTCAGGCCCAGCATGAAGCCGGTCTGAGCGCCACTGGTTGGTTTAGGAGACAGGAGGAGGGGGTGGGGGGTCTTGTCCTGTCCTCACCTTCTTCCAGGCAAGGAGACAGGGGGTCCTCTATCACCATCCATGTCCTACTCCAACTCTACTTTCCAGAAATCTAGGGGCCACTGGGGCTATAAACCAGTGGCACAAGTGCCTGCCTGGAAGGTATGAGGCTGTAAGTTTGATCCTCAGTACCACAAAAAAAAAAAAAAAAAAAAAGTCAGAAACCCAAGGGCTGTGGAATCTAAGAATATCGACACAAGTCTTAAGTATAAGGTTTATAAAAGAGCAGCCAGCCTCCCCAGCCCTACCGCAGCTGACCCCTGGGATCTTTGGCACCCAAGGGCAGCACACTGGGCTCAGAGCTTCTCCCAGTAGTGGAATGTGAGTGATGGCCTGGGCTTGTGATGGGGGAGGCCCAGCCTCCCCGAGACTGGTGAAGGGACAGCTAGGGGTCCCTTGCTGCCCACAACAGCCCCATCTTCAGCAGAATCTGCTGGGCTGGGCCCAGTCATGGGGCAGAGTGGTGTCTTCTCTGAGGGGAAGATGGAAGAAGAGGACAAGAATATCCATTGGTCTGAGCCTCTGTATCTGAAAGGGGCCAAAGGAATAGAAAGAGGGAAAACAAGTGGGCTGAGGGAGACGAGGTCTCAGGGTGCAGATCCTGGCCTTGCTGCAGGGTGGCTGCAGGCCTGGTTTCCGGTTCTGTGTCTCCTAATGTTGCGTAGGAGGCAACTACTGGGCCTCACATCTGCAGCTGTGGGGCATGACGGGTTTGGTGGGATCTGAGATGATAACTCTACCCTGTTTCCAGTTCAGGGAGCCCCTGCAGCTCTGGAGCCCACCAGATGGTGGCCCAAAGGGCTTGGTCCTGGCGCTTTAAGGAAAACCTTCCAAGGAGAGGACACAGGCTGGGGCAAATGCCATAGTGTTTAAAAATGTGATGTCCTCCCCGTCTTTCTCCCCTTGACTGGCCACTGGATGGGGAGGGGCTGGGGAGTCTGGGTAGGACATGAGGATGAGTAAACAGAACAGGGGCATCTTAGTGACTTCCTCCATGCTGGCTGGTCCCTGAGACCCAGTCAATGATGATGAAGCTCAGGCTCATGGTCATCAGCAAGAGGCCAAGCACAGCAAAACACAGGGCCTGCGGGGCCAGAAGTAAAGGTCAGGTCTGAGGCCAGAGCAGGCCCCAAGCCCCACTCCAGCCTGCAGGCCACCCTCGCACCAGGATTTTGGGGGTGGATCTTGCAGGCTCCTTTTCGGTGGGCATGATTCGGAAGTAGAAGATGGCAGGGAAGATGAAGATGAGACATGGGGCAGATGTGGCACCTGCAAAGAACAAAGCATGGGCACCACTGGCTCGTGTTGGGCTCTCGGCCAAGGGTGGAGCAGGCCTTCAGTGAGATCAAGCATTCCTTGTGGAGCTGTTTTATTTTACTTGAGAGCTCTGCATGGGTCTGGGGGGCCCATCAGCCTCTTACCTTTTTCTATGAATAAGAACAATGTCATCAAATGAAACCAGCAATGAGGAAAGGCAAGTTATGATGCAAGGATGAATAGGTTGTTGACTTCCAGAATACAGCTGGCTCTAGTTCGATTTTTTTCCCCCTAGTGCTGGGGATTGATCCCAGGGTCTTTGCACCGGGATCTATATCCCAGATGTTTTTAAAAAAACTTTAAAAAATTTCAACACAATACTGGGTATGTTGGCGCATGTCTGTGATTCTAGTACTCAGGAGGTGGAGGCAGGAGGATCCTTGTGAATTCAAGGCCAACCTGGGCTACAAAATGAGTTTAAGGCCATCCTGAACTGCAGAGTGAGACCCTGTCTCAAAAAGACCAAAAAAGTTTTTTTCAGTATGAAACATGCTAAATTGCCAAATTGCTCAGGTTGGGTTCCAAGTTGCAGTCTTTCTGCTTCAGTCTCCTGAGTGCTGGAATTACAGGTGTGAGTCACCATGCCCAGCACCAAAAAAGGTGTTTGTTTTTTTCCTTTGGAGAGGGATGGGAGATGGAGGTCTCATTATGTTACTCAAGATGATCTCAAACTCTTGGGCTCAAGTGATCCTCTATCCTCAGTCTCCCCAAATGCTGGGACTACAAGCATGTGTCACTATGCCCAGCCCAATCCTGATCTCTGAGACCCACCCCTGTTCCCCAGCAAGGAAACTGACTGACTCAATGGTTCTGAACCTTCAGAAAGGATTGGTGGGGGGCTGGAGATTTAGCTCAGCAGCACAAGTGCCTGCCTGGCCAGCATAAGGATGTGAGTTTGATCCTCTGTACAAAAACAAAAACAAAAACAAAAACAGGATTGCAGCCAGGCTTGCTGTAATCCTAGCACTTGGGAGGCTGAGGCAGAAGAATTGCTGTTGGGCTATATAGCAAGTTAGAGGCTACCTTGGGCTACATAGTGAGCTCAAGACCAGTCTAACCCGTGTGATGAGACCCTGTATTTTTTACATTTTGGTACCAGGGATCTAACTCATGACCTTGTACTTGCCAGGCAGGCACTTATGCCACTGAACTATATTCCTAGCCCTTGAGACCCTATATTAAAAAAAGAAAGAAAGAAAGAAATTACAACAGCCTTAAGAACAAGAGTTGAAATAGAAGCCAAAATAAAAATGTGCAGATGGCCAGCAGCCATCACCTAAATGTGGGGTGTGAACTCAGGAATCTGCCAGGACTTACAGAAGTAAAATTCTCTGGGGTGAAACCTTTGGTTCCTTGGCAGGCCCAGACTCTTACCAATGATCCCAAAAATGCCCAAGATGTTGGGGGCGAAGATGACCAGCAGGTTGATACAAGTAAGCAGGACAGTGGCGATGAGTATGTGCCGCAGCCAACTGAACTCCTGATTCTGAAATAGCATCTGCTGGATGGCACGGCGCACCTAGGGGCAGATGGAGACCACCATCACTCTGCTAGTCCTGCCAGCCTGTCCACAGGGGCCACCAGCCTCCTGGCTCACCGGGAAGAGAACAATCGGCACTGTGAGTGTAACTGCTGTCAGCACGGCCACACGCACGCACAGGATCAGCACATCAAATTCGTCCACCTGGCTGTAGGTGTGCAGTAGCTCTGACTCCACCCTGTCTGTGGCAGGCAGGGAGGGTGGTCAGCAGGCCAGGGGGCGCTGGGCTCTGAGCTGCCTGGTAGACCCTGACACTGAGGGGAATGGTACTCAGACTCACCTCTACAGCTGCAGGCGCTGTCAGGTATCTCATACCTAACGAGCGCCTATAGTATGCAAGGTACCATGGCCTCTGTCCAGACCCTGCTTCCCAGTCTGGCCTCCACCCCTGCCCCCGCCGGTCCAGCCATACCGTAGAAGGTGAGATAGCCGAAGAGGGCAGCCAGGAAGTACATGACATACATGACGGAGATGGACAGATTAGAGATGTGCTGCATCTTCCTCTTAGTGGGGCTGTAGGGTAGTAGGGAAAAGCTCTGTGACAAGCTCGCTACACCAGGAAATCCCTCAGCCCCTAGCCTCTCTGGCATCCTTACTATTCAGCAGCGAGGGCATCTCCAACTTGCCCATATCACCACTGCAGCAGCCATGGAGGTCTCTGATCAGATGACTGGGGTCCTATCATCTCCCCTCAACACACCCCATGTCCTTTCTCCCAACCCTTCTCCCAGCCCAGACACCTACTCCTTGAGCTCTGTATAGATGGGCAGCACTTCAGGGTGGCAGACGAAGGCGAAGGCCATGATGGGGATGGTGTATGCTGTCTGGGGACACAGGGGATTGTGTCAAAGGAGCCCCTGTGCAGGCTTTCCCATCCCTGCCCTGGCCTGTTGGAACCTGTGAGTTGAGGGTGAAGTAGCTTGGGGTGCAGAGGGCAGCAGCCTCAGGGTCGGCCTGCAGCTGTGCCTTCTCAGCCACCTCCATGTGGCTGAAGTTGCCTGTGACGTTGACCAAGTTGGAGGGCATCGGGCAGGGCACTTGAAACTTTTTGTAGATGACCTGGATTGGGGAGGGATGCGGATATCAGAGTCAGGTGGGCTGCCTACAAAAACACCATGAAGCCGCATCTAGATCAGATTGGAGAGGCTGCCTTCTGATACAGGGTTTCCAGAGACACCCTCCATCTCTGTCTGGCAGAGGACTCCTTTGGGCCATCTGCCCTGCCTTGATCAAGATGGAGGAAGACTTACTGCAATTAAGAAGAACACCATGCAGCTAAGAGAGAAGCCGCTGGAGTAGCCCAGGTAGCCTGCAGACAAAGCAGATGCTATGAGACCAGGTCCTCTGGGGACCCTCCAACAACCCTCCAGGGTCCAGCACTGTCACACCCACCAAGCTGCCGCATCAGTGCCAGGGGCAAAATGACAGTGACAGACACCAGGATCACCAGGTAGTTCCCATTCAGGTACCAGACTCTGCAGGAACAAGAGTATAGAGCCAGGGTCAGAGCCCACTTGGTCTAGGGTAGGACCTCCTGCCTTCTCCAGTTAGGGATACTGTGGGGCCACTGAGGGACCTCTGAGGAACAGATGGCCATAACTTAGTTTCCCCACACCCATCTGCAGAATGGGTGCCCCTTAGATTCCTGTGTGATGTGAGAATAAAGGCTCTTGCAGGTGACCCTTGCAAATGCAGTCCCTGTTGGTGTCTTTCTCAGCACACACAGGCCTGGGCCCAGCCTCAAAGGAGGAGGAAGGTAGCCAGAGTTCTGTGTTTGCCACAGGGGCTCAGGACTTGCTGATAACCCAGCCCCTTGTAAGTCTCTCCCAGGGCATCTGCACCTTGCATTTTCTGCCCCTCTTCTACCCACTGGAAATAAACATGGGGCACAGGGAGACAGGGAATAAGGGCCAGGACCATCTTTCCAAGGCAAACCAAAGACCAGCTCATTCTGCCTCAGGGGCGGAATCTTCATCCCTTTCTGCCACCCAGAGCTGCTTCCTGCCTTGTAGCCCTTTTGCTCACCCGAGCTGGGCTGCTGAGAGCAGGGCACGCTCATCTCTTCTCTCCCCTCACTCACAAAACAAGGTTCATGCCCAGTTAGTACTGGCTAAAGTGATGGGCAAGTAGGACACCCGGCTTAATCTCTTGGAGGGGGGTTGACCCCATGATCAGGAATAGCAGGTACTTAGAGTTAAGCCTGCAGCTCTTGTGCTCACAGATGAGGGGCTAGAGCCAGGCAGGGTCCAGCTCCTCAGCCTTACCCTGCTCCAGCCCCATATGCTTCCCCTGGAAGGTTCTAGAAGGGGGCACATGAACAAGTAGGAACTAAATGGAGGCTCTGTTGGCAGCTCTGTTCCTCTCTATCAGCTATGGTTTGGGGTTTTTCTTTCCTAGCTGTGTGTTTGCTTTCTCCTCCACAAGCCCAGTCTGGGGGTCTCTGGAGTCTGTGGTATATATATAGTAGAACTAGGGCCTCCCACCCTCACACCCCTGGGCTCACAAAGTCTGATCCTCCAGGTTCAGAAAGGTCTGTATGACAAGAGGCAGCTCGGACTTGATGATGTACAGGTAGCTGGACATGGCTAGGGAGAGAGGGCAGGTACTGGGGTCAGTTGAACCAGCTGGCCTTCAGACCTGTTCCCTCCACTGCCCCCCACCTACCATCAGCCTTACCTCCAATGTTCTGTAGTGTGATGGCCAAGGCTGCCGCCAGCTTTCCAGGGGTCCCAAAGGCACGGTAACCCAGCTGCTCATAGGCACGAATGCCTGTGGAAATGGGTGTATGTGTGTATGTATCTGTGTAAGTCTGTGTGTGTGTACCCAGGGGAGCAGGCCCATCCAGCCCAGCCCCCCCCTTGTGGGCTGGTGGGAGGCTCACCCACGATCCCAGAGGACTTGAGGAGCAAGTGGATGGAGTAGCTAGAGAGTAGGGCGACAGCTGTCAACAGGAATCTGAGGAAGATGAAGGAAAGAGGTCAATGGAGGAACCCCGGTTGGCAGAAGGAGGGACTCTGGGAAGCTGCATGGTGGAGTGTATGTGTGACCTGGGTATCTGAACTCCAAGAGGTGTGGATGCAAGCTCAGTAGCTCCCAGGGCATGGTGAATACCACCTTGTTGGACCTGGGCGAACCCAGAAGGGACCTCTGGGTCAAGCACACTTGGGACTGTCCTCAGAACACCTCTTCATCTGGTATCCCTGGGACAAACATGTTTTTCATTCAGGCTGCTTGGCAGAGACCCACAGGCCAAGGACACGTGTGCCCACAGAAGCCTCGCCACAAGGCTTCGCCAGTCATCATGTGTAAGCATTGTCACAGTACAGACTCAGGCCTGTGAGGCCTGCATTGTGACCTCAGTGGGTTTGCTGGGCAGTGAGGTATATTTATCTGGCTGTGGGTATTTGTGCAGTTGTGGTTTGGGTGGGGAAGTGGGAGGTCCTGGGAAATCATGGTGGGTGGCTTGTTCAGGACTCCCATCTTCAGAAGGTCTGCTGAGGGCACTCACAGGAAAAGGATGATGCCTGTGTTGGCCATGGCATAGGCGAGCCCCAGAATGCCGCTGCCCATGATGGCGTTGCTGAGGTTGAACACGGACATCCCGAATGACGTTTTCCCCTCAAACTGTGGGTATCAGAGTGGGCAGGAGGCATGGGGAATCAGTGAGACATGGAGGCATCTTGGCCTTCCCCTCCCTGCCCTTCAGCCTCCTGCTGTTGCCCCTAGAGTACCTTGTTACTGTGTTCAAGCTCCCCACAGCGCCCCCAACCCCTCAGGTGCCCAGCTCACATCGGTGAAGTGTGGCTCCTTGCTGAGATTTTTCTGCAGGAAGCCTCTGCTCTCCACACAGCTCTGACTGGGGTTCTCCACCCTGCAGACACAGGCCGGAGCAAGGGGCTCAGCTTCAGCCCTGGGCTCTACACCCCTGCCTTGTGCTATCCTTAGCTATTGGGTCCCTCTTCTACTTACCTCTGGCTGTCAACTTCGGGAGTGCCAACAGGGAGTAGTCCCTCCAGGTGTTTGCCATTGGGCACCAGCTCTACCATCTCTGTCTGCAGAGGTGCCTCCATGACTGGGGACAGCTCTCACTCCAACACACTCGGGTCTCTGTGGAGCAGCCCCTCGGTTATCTCCTTCCTTAGACCCATAGTCCCATCTCCTACCCAAGGCAGAGGTGGCAGCACATCTCCAAAAGGTGTGGCACATGCTCATCTCTGCCTGTGCCTCCCCAGATCTGCCTGTGTGAGCACAGAGCATGGACACCTGAGTTCCGCACTATAGACAGTATACAGCCCCTACATGCACAAGCCCAGGTAAGTTATTGGTCTTCAGTTTCTCCATCTGTGAAGTGAAGGTCATCTGGATAATCTGAGTTCAGAGTCCAGTGGCACTGGGACCCCTGGATGCAGAATCCCAGGCCTTCAGATCCCAGTCTGGGACTGTAAACTGGGGTGCCTACCCTGCCACATGAGTCCTGGGAGATGGTTTCTTGCTCTTCCCTGTGTTCCAGGGCTTCCTGGCCAACCTAGAATGGGACTGCCTGATGGCTGGAGGCCTTGGGAGAGGGTGAGGGCTGTGGGCCTTGTTCCCAGCTGCCCGGCGGGCACTGCTGGCAGCTAGAACAAAGGGTCCTCTGTGGGCTGTGAGCTGGCGCTGGGAACAGCAGGCGCAGAGGCTGCCCCTACCCCTGAAGCCAGAAGGCCTAAGGCAGTGCTGGATGGCTGGACACCTGGACCCTTCCTGCTCAGCTGTAGGCCATTTCCAGGAAATGGATGTTAGATGGCCAGTTCTCCACCATACAGTCCTCATATGTCACTTAGCCTTGGCCTCAAAGCCCTGTTCTAGCCTCTCCTCTTCTGTCAGGGAGCCCCAAGCCTCAGGTGCCCACCACCCAGGACTACATCCTTTTAACAGAGTTGGTATAGTTGGATGCTTTGAGCCTCTGGCTGGAAGCTCAGTGCCTCAGCCAGCTGAAGAGGATCCTGGTTCACCAGATCAGTGCCCCTCTATGTTCTCAGGGTTTGGTTCTGTGGGGCCCCAAAGGATCCAGCTTCCCTCCTCTTCCTTCCTGCCCCAAGCACAGCCTAGACAACTCACGCTCACTGGCCCCTCTCCCATCAGAGCCAGGACTCACCTAGCCCATGCCCAGAAGGTGTCTGGGAACAGTGAACCCAGTATCTGTTAGGACATCCTGGAGGTCAGACCAGCAGCCAGCAGGAGAGCTGACCCAGGATAGGTGGCTCTGCTAGAGAGGACATCAGGAGCCCAGTCTTGAGGTCATGCCCCACCCTCTGGTTGGGAATCCCAAATCCTGTCCTAAATATCCCCTTTCCTGTTCCAAAGCCTGCTTGCCAGACATGGTGGTGTATGCCTGTAATCCCAGCACTTGGGAGGCCGAGGCAGAAGGATCATTATGAGTTTGAGGCCAGTCTGGGTCACAGAGTGAGTTCAAGACCAGCCTGAACTGCATAGTGAGATCCTGTCTGAAAAAATACAAAAACAAACAAAGAACACAAAAAATCCAAACCACTCCAGACTCGAATGGTCTCAGATTTGCTTTTTTTTCTTTTTTTGAGACAAGGTCTTGGTATGTAGGCTGGTGTTGAACTCACTATACCCAGACTGGCCTCCACTTGCAGTAGTCCTCTTGCCTCAACCTTCCAAATCCTGGGATTGTAGGTTTATACCACAACACCTAGCTCAGATCTGTTCTTTTTTTTTTTTTTTTTTTTTTTTTTTGGTACCGAGGATCGAATTCATGACTGCCTACTTTCAAGCCAGGCGCTTGTGCCTCTGAGCTAAATCCCCGGCTCCCAGATCTGTTCTTGAATCTGGACCTCCAAGAAACTCAAACTTAGTGCTTAGTACTGGAGTGCAAAGGGGAGCTAGCAGCCAGGCATGGTGATGCAAGCCTGTAATCTCAGTATTTAGGAGGCCGAGGCAGGAGCATTGCAAGTGCAAAGCTTAGTGTGAGCAACATAGTGAGACTCTGCTTCATTAAAAAAAAAAAAAATACAAAGAAAGAAAGAAAAAAGGAGAGGAGAAAGAGTGGGAAAGACAAGGCCAAGGTTAAGTGTAAGCCTCACACTATGACCAAGGACCTTTCCTCCACTGACCTGGGCCAGAACTCAGATCGCTGCACCTCAGTCTTAGGGACCCCACACTTGCACAAAAACTGCCTCTGTTTCCTTGACCAGCAGCCCACCCGTGACTGCTGAAGCCCTCTTCTCAGAGGCCAGCCTCCCCTCATTCCTCTGTGCTGTCAGTACCCCTCTGAGCACCTCACTTGGTATGCAGATAGCAGTGCTGGGTCTCCAGAGTCCCTTCAGAGTGCCCCCAGCACTGCTCTAGGCCACCTTTGCCTGGCCCAGCCCAGGGCAAGTTGGGACAGGCCATCCAGAGTGCTGAGTAGGCTTTGGGGACAAAGCACCCTTTTCTGCTGCAGTGGCAGAGGTCTGGCTGGCTGGGCCTACTGCGCATAGGCGCACGTCAGGCTCAGGCTGAGGTGTCCCAGGAGGACACTAACGGTCAGTCCCTGCTTCTAGGGAGACCACAGACAGGGCCAGTCTGTGAGGGTGTGTGAGGGCTCATATGATGCAGGCCCAGACTCAGAGGCTGGTGGCCGTTCCCACCAGTCATTGTTGGCTCTCAGGGCCCTGGAGGGATATGGAATAAACTCCTCAGTGGTGTCCAGTCTGGAAGGGTTTGAAAACAAACCCCGAGTATACCCTTTCATGCTACCCCGTAGCTTCCGTGCAACTGAATGAGAGCCACACTGTGCTGGGACTCAACAAAGGACAGATGGCAGTGGTTGGGCTACAGCTCAGTGGTAGAGCCACTGCCTAGCATATGTGAGACCTCGGGTTCAACTCCCAGTACTGGAAAAAGAAAAGAACAGTTGGGGCAAGAAGGAGGAGTCGGGGCTGGGGATTTAGCTCAGCGGCATAAGTGCCTGCCTTGCAAGCAGGCAGCCGTGAGTTTGATCCCTGGTACTGATAAAAACGAAAAAGACAAAAAAAAAAAGAAGGAGGAGTCAAGAAAAGTTTTCTGGGCTGGAGATGTAGCTCAGTGGTACAGTGCTTGCCTAGCATGCACAAAGCCCTGAGTTCAAACCCCAGTACCACACACATACCCATACACACACAATTTCTAAAAAAAATTTTTTTTAAAGAAAGGTTTTCTGTAGAAACGATGAAACCAGTCCAATCCTAACATACCTGTAGGAGCTCCTGAGGTACCAAACAGGAAAGCATCTCAGGAAGAAGACAGAGCATAGGCAGAGGCCCTGAGTATGGTATGAGGTGAGGATGGCATAGATTCTGTGGCTACAGACATGCCTGGTAAAGCCTTCAATACCAATGTCCGTACTCTAATCAAGGGCAGGCCTGAGGGCTGGGAGGTCAGTGAGGGTTAGGTCTTGCCTGGCTTTGGGACACCAGTGATTCCCTGAGTCTTCCAGCCCATCTTTGACCTCAGTCACTTCTCAGACCTATTGCTTCCCAGATTATTAACCCCTTGAGTCAGGCAAACTTGGGGTGAGCTCCTGAAGACAGGAACCTGGCCCACTGCAGTATGAGCCTGGACTGTAGCCTCAGTTGGGTGGCCATGAGCAGAGCATCCCCTAGTCAGGAACTCAGTATCCCCCAAAATTTAGGGGTCCTGTGCAGACAAAGTGAGGAACCTCCCTGCGGCCTCTGACCTCAGAGTAGGCCATGGGTGCCCAGAAAAGGGTCAGGCATTAGGGTAGGGAGGAGATTCACTGTGACCTTGGATTAGGTCATCAGAATTGTATTCATCATGGGTGAAGTGTCAACCTGGGCAGCAAATCAATGGCCTGGCCCACAGCTCTGGGACCTGCTTGTTCTGCTGGGAGATAAGAGCCAGGACTGGCAGGTGCTACAGGAAGGTGCAGCAGGTAACACCTGCCCACGAGGACATCACAGAGTGAGAAACCACATGTTACAGGTGTTGAGTGTGGCTAATTTAAGACTTCCAGCCCAGGAATTCAGGCCACAGTGGGGTGGCTCCCTGCATCCGCTGATACAAAGCAGCCCACCCCTCTGTCCTAGATCAAGGTCCTCAGAGTTTCTAGGGCTCCATTTCCTCCCCAGTGCTCAGGAATCTAAATAGAACTGCAGCAGTGGATTGGTTACAGGGAGCAGCCACTTTGCCCTTCCCTTGGTCCTGTGGCCATAGGCACCAGTGCAAGCTCACTGCACTGTCCAAGCTTCTGAGGCTGGGAAGCCCGGCCTTCAGCCCATAGAGGACAGGAAGCTTGAGGGGCTGCAGTGATTATTTCTGGGTTAGGTCTGCTTCTACTACTAGCTCAGCCCATCCTTACCACCCTTCTCCTTGGCTTCCAGGAAAGACACCTTCTCTGACAAAGCAGACCCGGTCAACCACAGGGGTTGTAAGGAGCTGATGTGGGGGTCTGGGGTGAGGGCTAGGGCAAGTGGGAGGCGATTAGAACAGGAAAGAAAACTAAAAGACCTTCTTCTCCACTCTCTCAGGCCATATCTCCAAATTTTGATTCCAGTAAATCCCAGTCTCCTATCTACCACCCCCTTGCTGTCAAAAACACAACATGACACCACCTAAGTAGACAGTGTGCAATTGACACTGGACTGCTCCCAAGGGAGTGACATGCATGAGGGCACAGCTAGGGAAGGGCCAATGGCCTGAGATCAATATCTGGCCGCACCAATTCCTCATCCCCCAGCTCCTTGACCCTGAGCTGGGGTCTGTGTTTCTGTGTTCTCAGCATCCGGAGGTGCCTAGGAGGATCTGAGAGGTCCAGCTGGGACCGGAAGGTAGACTTTCCTGTGGCAGGGTACATTTCCTAGACGCCCAGCTGGTGCTCACTGGTCACCTCAGCTTTGCTTCCCACCCAGTCCTGGACCCTCTGTGCTCAGGCTGCTTCCAATGGAGGTTATAGCCAGAACCTCTGAGTTCGAGATGGGCCCAGAGCCAGAAACAGCCCCTCCTCCACTTCATTGCCAGCCTGCTGAGAGGGACGTGCAGCCAGAGGCCCAGATGAGGCAAAGGATAGGACATCATGTGACCATGGCCCCCCAGGGGCAGGGGAGACCCTGCGCCAGCCAACCCATCTTCCTCCCTGCTGACCCAGAATCCCCTGGGGCAGCCAAATATTTGGACAGCCGGACTTCTAGTCCCAAAGAAAGCTGGAATACAGGTCTCGGGCAACTCAGGACTCATTGGAGACCCTGATTGCAGTGAGGTTGGGGGGCCTAAAGGCAAAGTCAGGCTGGATGAGGGGTGACATCCAAAGTCATGAAGCAGCAAGAGACCAGGCAGAGAAAACATACGCATATTCAATACATGCGCTCAAGCATACTGATCTAGACAAACACACAGACAGAGGCCCAGGGAACCAGAGAAATGCAGAGGGATATACAGGGGCACAGACAGAGAAAAACACAGAGATAAAAATCACATGCAAATAGGCAGATAAACATTCAGACAGGGAGACAGAGACACAGAAAACTAGAGAAATGATATGACTTATCAGTTAGGGACAGCCAAATGGAGGAAGAGACAGAGAGACTGCAAAAGAGACAGCTAGTGAAAGACAAAAGGGTCCCAGAAGGAAGAAGGAGAAAGCAAGCCAGGATACCCACATGAGGAGGAGAACAGCCCCAGCGGGCACTGCAGGGATGGCCAGGCAAAATGCCAGGTGACACACACACACACACTCTCTCACTCTCTCTCTCTCTCTCTCTCTCTCTCTCTCTATATATATATATATATATATATATATATATAATCTGTTTTGTTTTTTGAGATAGGGTCTTGTTATGAAGTTCAGGCTGGTTTTGAACTCACTATGTATAGCCCAGGCTGACCTCCAACTTGAAGTGATCCTCCTGCCTCAGCCTCCCGAGTTGCTGGGATTATAAGCATGTGTCACCACACCCAGATTAGATGACTATAAGAAGGCCATACTACACCTCTAGGATCTGCCCTCACTGGCCAGTGCAATGACATCCAGAGGGTGGAGCCAAATTCATGAGGGCCACAAGACCATGGTGAATGAGAAAGTTCAGGGACTCATAGTCTAACACCTGAGGCTTATCTATAGGAACAATGGAGAAGACATGCAGAGATGACAGCCAGTTGGAGGAACTGCTGTTCTCGGTGGCCACACACATATGCAGACGTGCTGGCTGGGAGGCTGTGTACAGGACGTAGCCTGCAGAGCGGAAATTCAAAACCAAGCCACCCTAGGCCACTGGCAGGAAAACCCCTCCTGCCCCAGCAGCTGGTCTTTCCCTTTGGCCCCTAACCCTGCCTGGCCCTCTAGAGCCACACCCTACCCTCCCATGTCTGTCCTCCCTCCAGGATCAAAAGTGCCCCTCTTCAGTACTCTTCTACCACAAGCTTGACTGCACATGACTCACAGAGTAGGTGCTCAGTAAGTGTTGTTGAATGGACAGAATGGGTTCAAAGCTTTTGGAAAACCCTGAGTCCATTTTACCTGCTCTGAGCGGGTCCTGGCCCTGCAGGGCCCCCATCCTACAACAGCATACACTGCACATCTCATCCCAGCTTTCCTTGCACACAGATGCCAAAACTGAACCTCCTACTACCCACCTCCCCTCAATCATTTCTCCCTCAAGTTGAAAGCCTGTCTCCACACTGAGCCCAGGATATACCCAGCTTGGCTTGGAATCCCTGTCTGACCTAGCCGAGAGACTAGAGATCTACCTGCCTGTCTCGTTGTGCCTGTTTTGCCAAACGCCTGGGGCTCTAAGGCTACTCACTAGGACAGCACCATGGCAGGAAAAAACAGCTTTCAAGGCTTGGCCACCTGGAGCCTTGGATGAGGGAATCAAGTGGGCCCTGTGACATGACCTACAATCACCAGCACTTGACAGAAAAGCCTTGTGAGGAAAAAAAAAAAAAGCCTTGTGAGGCCAGTGAGGACCTGTGCTAGGGTAGAATGAAGTTGTGAGACATATTCCCACCATGATAGACATACAACCCTCTGCCCAAACCCGCAAGAACTCAGAAATTGCCCTTCTGACTCAGTCATTCCGCTCTGTCTGCCTGGCCATATCTGCTCCTGATCCCTCCCACCACCCAAAGGCTTCCATGGCTGTGCTCCTTCAAAACCAAAGGCCCTCGGATCACTTTCTGTCCCCCAGACTGAGAGCTCTCAGGGACTGGCCTTGGTGCCAAGAGCTAAGACTCCATCCCAGCCCTGCTCTGAGGGCCTCTTCAAGGGTAGCTGGTGAGAGGGAGCCGTGGAAAGGAAGGATAAGGCTTGCAGGATGATGGATGGGTACCAGTCTAGATATCCATTATGCTCCTCTAGGCACATGGGCCTTTGACTTGGCCCTCCTCAGGCCTATTGCAGAGCCTGCACCTGGGCTCAGGGTTCAAGTCAAGGTGGGGGAAAAGGCACACCCCCCACAGCCCGCCCCCTTAGGCCCTCTCCTCTGGTGTAAACAAATGCATGCAACCGCTGTGGCCAATGGAAGGGGCCAAGTCCAGCCAGGGCGGGCTCATGCAAACCGAGTCTGGGTCCCCACCCTCAGCGGTGCACAGGGCCAGCGGACTCCTACCACAGCGCCCAGAGGCCAGGTAGGGAGGAGCACACACGCGCGCGCCCCGCCCTCAGTCCGGTCAGCCACGCGAGCTCTGGCCGGCCCTGCCCTTGGCATTGCCACAGATGGCACCGGCTCTGGGGCCAGCATGTACCCCGCGGCCCCTTATGCGGCCCTGCCAGATCTGTCCCGCTCCTCTGTCCAAAGAGGCCGGGATAAATATACCCAGATTCCCGGCGTGCCAACGACTGCGCTGCTGTCAGGCGCCCGTCGGGGGCAGCGCTCCAGGGACTGCTGTCCGCGCTCCCGGCCGCACCGGGAACCCGGCTTAGGAAGCCGGTTGGTGCTGCTGGAGCCCCCGGCCCGGGAGCCACTGACCTCCTGCTGTCCAACTTGGCCCTGCCGAGAAGTCCAGCGTCGACGAGGTGCCCCTGCCAGGACCATGTCTCCAGCTTGGAGCTAGGTCCCAACTGGCGGAGTCGCAGACCTGAGCCTGGAGCGTATGGGACTCCGACTAGCCCGTGGCTGGGGTGCCGGTCGGGGCTGCGGTGGGCCAGCGGAACAACCCATAGCCCCCTAGCACCCCAAAGGGGACAGCAGGGCTGCCTCAGTCCTCCTGGTGCCCCTGGGCTAGTTCGCCGACATTCCCAACGGTACCTGGCCTCGTGGTGGGAAAGCGTGGCGCTCTGCTCGCTCCAGCTGGTGCGGTCAGCTTGGCTCCCGGCTGAGCTCAGAGCTGCTTGGGCGACAGCAGCGGCTGGGGATGAAGGGCGCCCGGCCCCGCCCCCGGCCCGGCCCCGGCCCGCCAATCCCTGGCTGCCCGAGGGAGGAGGGGCCGGCCTGGGGAGGGGCGGGGGCCGAGCCTGGGGCACCCGAGAGCCCCTAGGTAGAAAGGCGAACTCGGGGGAGGGTCATCTGGAGTCCGGAGTGCAGGATGCTGCAGGCCAAAGTGGACTCTTTGAGGTCTCTGTTGTCCGTAACCCCAAAGCTCTGCCCTAGTCTCCCTGAAGCCAGAAGGGTTTTTCGGCTAAGGGACATAGAAACGGGACAAAGCTTAACTTGAGCGAGGGTGCTTTGCCTGGAGGACTTTCAGACATTGCTTACGCAACAGAATTTTCTTTTCTATCTCTTACCGTTCCTACCTAGTGATGGGACAGGGATTGAAATTGGGAAAGGGTTTTTTGTGTCATTCTGTCTTCATCCAAAATAGAAGAGCGGGTTGGAGACTGGAGCAGGATTGTGAGGGCAGGAGGCCTGCAGGGTAACAGCATCGTCAAGTCTTGCCCAGGGCCTCTCTAGCCTTTCTTGACCCCTTCCCTACCTCTCCACGTGGGAAACTGCTGCCAGCTTGCTTGTGGGAAGCGGGGGCTGGGATTTGGTGCCCTGGGAGAAGGGGTTTTAGGATGGTGTTCTTGATTGGAGACTCCTGTCCTACCCCTGCTTGCCTTCCACTTGGGGCCCTGATGCTTAGAGGTGTGTGGTCTCAGGTTCAGCCAGCAGGGAGCAGGCAGAGGCGCTGACCTTTTGGGGTAAACTGAAAGGGCGAATCCCTAAAACAGCTGTGCCACTAGCTTCTCAGCCACTGGCTCTGATCTGATTAATCCCTGGACTCCACTCTTCCTGTCCAAGAAGGACTTCTCAGTATCATGTCTGTCTCTCTTCTTGGTGCTGGGGGAAAGCCCTTGGAGGACAGAGTTCACCTGTTTTGTGCCCTGGGCTAGGAGTCAGGGATATTGAAATGTAGGACACCTGGATTCTTTCCCTTCTGATTTAGCACTACCAGAGCCAAGCTGTAGCACCTTAGTTTCCCTCTGTGTCACAAGAAATGACTCTTTTCCCTTGGCCTGAGGGAAGTGGGGTATAAGGAGAGTATGAGCCATGGGTGAAGGGCTCAGTGCTGCCTGGAGGAGACAGGTGGCTGAGAGGACTACAGAGAAAGTCATTAGGAAGGGGCAATTTTCACAGACCTCAATGGGCTCAATTTCTGCCTTGTTGGTCACTAGTCGATTGTAAGGGGCTGGTTTCACCTCCTGATCTGAGACTGGTATAACCTTTAGGTGTCACCATCATCATGAGGAGTCATTAGGTCAACACTGTTCAAAAGGAGATAAGACAGACACACTCTGGATGCTCACAGAGCCACTTGCAAAGGGCTGATGACTCCCACGGGCTGTTGTTGAAAGGCCAGACCCAGCTCCAGGTCACCTGTTGGGTGAATGTTAGGATCTTCAATCCAGACTGTGGGGAGAGGGAGCTGACAGGACCTGGCTGTCTTACAAGGTCTTGAGGTGGGTATGATGTTGGGTCTCTGGTTGAGTGGCCAGGTTGGGGGCAGGACGACTCTTTATGGTTGTTAGGCCTGGGCCCCACCAGGGCAAACCTAGTACTGAGGCTTTTCCTACCACCTGTGGAACCTCCCAGCCCAGCTGGACAGCTGGATGGCTGGACCAGGGCTCTGCTACTGCCAGGTGCTATCTCCCAGAAGCTGGAGGGAAGGTCCAGTGAGGAAACTGCAATATTGTAGGAACTTTCTGGAGTGAGCAGAGAGACTTCATCTTCAGCATCGACCTGACTCTTCCCTCCACCACATCTCAAATCCAGGCCCAGGAGACTGCCAGATACATGGGACAGAACTTAGGGTCACTCAGACCCTCCTTCCAGGGTCACAGCAGCCCCTTTGCTCTCCTTCACCCTCTCCAGTCATAACCTCTCCACAGCAGGGCAGACCCTTCTGACCATGCCATCACCTCCACTGATACACCATTCACACGGCACCCCTAGAACCTCTCTAGTAGTGAGGGCTCCTCTAACCTCCATCCCAGTGCTTCCCAGAGCTTAACCTTGTGATACACTGGCTGCTTGGGTGACCAGCAAGCCTCTGCCCTTGTATGCAGCCAGCCTTCCTATATTCCCCAACTTGCTGCCATCTGGCTTCCCACCCTCCATGGCTGAGCTGACCAGCATGATCTGTTGTTTCTAGGACACACCAGCTTTCATGCTTCCATGCCTCTGCTTCATGCTTCCCAGGGTTGAGGTTCCACACCTGGCCCCACCTCCTTGGCAAACTTCTACTTGTCCTTTAGCACCAAAGAGAAGATCACCTCCAAGAACCCTGCCTCATCACCAAAAGAGCTAGCTATTCCAGTACTCACTACAGCTGCCACACCATCTACCCACTGTCCTGGCATCAGTGTCTTCGAGCATCTTTGATGCATGGGGAATCTAGATAGGAAAGCACTTGGCAGGATGGAGGGTGAAAATCAAAGGAAGCCTAAGTTAGGTGGGGTGATACATGCATAATTCCAGCATTCTGGAAGGCTAAGGCAGCAGGATTGCAATTCCAGCCCACACTAGGCAATTTGGTAACTTAGTGAGATCCTGTCTTAAAACGAAAATGAAAATGAAAAAAATACAATGACATAGCTTGACATGGCTAGGGATAGATAGCTATGAGTGTGAAGGCCCTGCGTTCAATTGCCAGTGCTAATTTTAAAAAATAAAAATAAAAAAGAAGGAAAGGCCAAGGAGAAGCAACCTGTGGGCTTGCTCTGCCCAGAGAAGGGGAGGTGAGGAGCAGGAGGCACTGGTTGAGGGCTCACGCTGAGGCCAGGGCAGGACTCGTGCTGGAGTCATGCTTGGGCTCAAAGCCTCACAGGGAGTGTGATTCTGGCTCCACACCCTGACTACACGCAACTCAGTTTGGTGCCCAGGAGGCTGGTTTTGGCAGCTTTGGGCTTTTGAGGTTACTGTTTCAACACAGGCTGTGGAAGTATGCAGGGGAAGTCAGCCCTTCTCTGCAGCCTTCCCCAGCGGGGCCCCAAGAGCGGGTAGCCTCCTGCTGAGGCCAGTCCCACAGCCTGGTGTGCCCACCCTTTCCCCAGAGATTTGGCCCCCAGCCTCTCTGGCCACTGAAGCGGCTTAATAAGCCCAGGTCACATGGGCTATGCTGCTGACCATGGGGAGGGCCCAAACTCCCAGTGGTCATCTGGCCAGGGCCTGACGTCAGCAGCATTAACCGTCCACCAGGCTTGTCTAATCTCCGGTCAGCAGCTGGGCCAGGTTAGTCCTGTCAGAGCCAGAGCCAAAGAGCATGGGGGTACACATGGATACCCTCAGATGCTTGGAGGTCAGACAGAGATGGCAGTGGCTAGTGATGGCTACAGTAAACGCTCCCACCTGCACGACAGGTGCAGCCATGGTGCTGTATCTGGGCCAGCTCTCTGATCCATCGGCTTGGACTGTGAATCAGGCATCAGGCACCCAGTCACCCATTGATGTTGCTCCTCGGGTTGTAAATAAACTGGTGCTGTAAGTGAGGTCACGGAGGTTTCTCACTGGGATTCAGGGGCCTCCACACTCTGTGATCATAGACAGGGTGGCTCGAGGCCAGGCAGCGTCCCCAGCCCACAGAATCTGGCAGTATCAGTGCTTTACCCCAGACTCTGCAGTCAGCACCATCTGTGGAGGGGGAGGTCCAGCCCCTGCACGGTGGACTGGCTTTTCTCTGTCCCTTGTCCAGAAAGGCAGGGGAGCTCATTTACTCTTTTTCCAACACACAGCAGCTCCAAGAAAGACCCCATTAATTCACCTCTCCCCATTAGGCTCCTCTCTCTGAAGTCCAGCACCTCCAAGTTTTCACAGCCCCCTGTCCTCTGTCTCACCCCTGCCCACTACTGCCCGCCCCACCTCACTCTGGTAAACTGCTTGGGGTCCAGTAGAGCTCAACCATTCCAGCTCAGCCAGCTCACCAGCAGCATTGCTCCACTGACCAAGCCCTGTCTGTCCCTCAGACTTCTGAATGGCATAAGTGTGGCCACTGTGCGCCCTTGGCTTTCCGAGCCTCTCATGTTCCTTCTATGTACCCCCACACACAGCTCCCACAGGTTTCTGGATCCTGAGCGTGCTGCCTACCTATGATACACCTTCTGCTCCACACAAAGGACCTGTTGCCTCCTGACATCCCCCAAAGCAGCCACAGGCCCTGAAGACTCAGCCTGTCCAAAATCCTTTGCAATCCAAGCCGGTGCAGGGTCACATGTGGCTGCTCAGCTGTGTAGCTGAGCCCCTGCTTCCCAGGCCCTGCCTCTGCTGGGTACTGGGGACAAAGGCACCTACCCTGGAGTTTCAGGTCCCATTTCTCTTCTCCCCTAGGCCCACACTAGCCCCCAGGAAGAATGTGTGCCCTATGTATCTGTCTTTATGAAAATTTATAATGATTATTTGTTTCCCAAAGCAGATTTCAAAAAATACTGTTGATGGCTTTTGTCTCCATGAAAGCCAGAAAAGTAAAAGTATAATAAATTCAGTTTTAGGCAGGAATAAAATGTATAAGCTTAAAATACTATAATGTGTTTCAGACACATTGGGGCACACATGGTTGGTTGGTTTGTTTTTGTTTTTTAGACAGAATCTCCCTAGGTAGTGCAGGCCAGCCTTGAACTCACTTTGTAGCCCAGGTTGTCCTCAAACTCACAGAAATTCTCACACCTCAGCCTTGCAAGTGCTGGGATCACAGGTGTGCACCAGCGTGCCTGCCCACTTTCAATTTTTTCAATGTTTTTTCCCCCACTACTTTAATGTTTGAGAGAGGATTAACTACTGAAAACACATAAAAGAAACCTACAGAATTATATATCTGTTGTCCCACCTACTTGGGAGGTTGAGGCAGGATATCACAAGTTTGAGGCCTGCCCAGTGAGAACCTGCCTCAAAAAATAGAGAGGGCTGTAACTTAGTAATAGAGAGGGATGTAACTTAGTATCAGAGCACTTGCATAACACATGTGAGACCCTGGAGTTCAATCAACAGCAGAGAAAAACAAAATCATAAAAAGAGCAAAAAGGCATAAAACCCAAAGAAGAATGAGAAAATTTTTGCAAATCATGACTCTAAGAGGAATTATTTTCCAGGCCAGATGTAGTAGGGCATGTATGTAATCCCAGCATTCCACAGGCAGAGGCAAGAGGATCACTGAGAATTTGACACCAGCCAGCCTGAGGTATGTAGTGAGTTCAAGGCCAGTCTGAACTACATAGTAAGACCCTGTCTCAAAAACCAACAACAACAACAACAAAGGAATTATTTTCCAGACTATATGTGTTTTGAAATTGGGTTTCACTATGCAGTTCAGGCTGGTCTTGAAATCACTTTGTAGCCCAGGCTGGCCTCAAATTCCCAGGGATCCTTCTGCTTCAGCCTCCCGAGTGCTGGGATTACAGGCATGTATCAACCATGCCCGGCTATATGGAGAACTTCTAAAACTCAATAACAACAGAAAAACCCCAAACAATCCAATTTAAAGCCAGGTGTGGTGGTACTCACTTGTGATCCTGCAGGCTGGAAGCCGAGGCAAAAGGGTCACTGAGTTCGAGGCCAGTCAGCCTAGCTACAGATAGTGAGTTTAAGAACAACCTGAACTACATAGTAAGATCCTGTACCCCCTCAAAAAAAAAAAAAAAAAAAAAAAAAAAAAAGACGGTGGGCTTGAATAGGCATTCTTCAAAAAGATATATAGATGGCCAATAAGTACATGAATATGCTCAACATCATTAAGTATCAGGGGAACACAAAAAGTACAACACAAGCAGGGCCCTGGGTTCATCTTTGGCGTTCCAAAAATAAAACCACTTATTAAAAAGCTTTTGCACACAAAAGAAACAACCAACAGAGTAAAGAGATAACCCACAATGTGGGAAAAAATGTTTGCCAGCTGTTCCTCAAACAAAGGATTACTATTGATAACATATAAAGAACTCAAAAAATCAGTCCTCCCAGATTTAAAGACCTAATGCAAAAATAGGCCTCTCAGATGAATACATACTTCTCATATGAAGAAATATAAAAAACAAATAAATATAGGAAAAAAAGTTCATCATCACTGATCATTTGAGAGATGCAAATTAAAACAACACTGAGATTCCATCTCACCCTGAAAAGAATGGCTAATATCAAGAAATCAACCAATAACAAATGCTGGAGGGGTTGTGGGGAAAAAGGAACTCTTCTCTATTGCTGGTGGGAGTGTAGATTTGTGCAACCACTGTGGAAATCAGTGTGGAGATTCCTCAAAAAGCTAGGATTTAGAGGTCCCATTAGACCCAGCTATCCAGCTTCTGGGTATCTTCTCAGAAGAATTAAAAACATGCCACAGCGATATATGAGCACTCATGTTTACAGCAGCACAATTTGTAATAGCTAGATTTTGGAAACGACTCAAATGCCCATCAACTGAGAAATGAATAAAAGAGATGTGGTTTTTTATACAATGGAGTACTGCTCAGTTGTGAAGAACGATAAACTGGAGACTTATAAGTAAATGAATGCAACTTGAGATCATACTCACAAGTGAAACAAACCAGATAGTCATGTATAAACATCAACACTGCCTCCCTAGTGTGAGAAGCTGAAAGAGTAAATAAAATCCAAAATGTACAATAGATATTATGGGGGCTGGGGATTTAGCTCAGCGGCATAAGCACCTGCCTTGTAAGCAGGCGGTCGTGAGTTCGATCCCTGGTACCGGTAAAAATGAAAAAGACAAAAAAAAAAAAATAGATATTATGAAATGGGAAGAAATGGATCAAAAGGCAAGAGAAACTGGGGTGGGGAAAGGAGAAAAGAAGGAAGGGAAAAGCAAAGAAAAAATATATGTATATATACAAAATAGTTAAGCTAGTTATACTACTAATTTCTCTTATTTCACTAAAAAGAAAGGTTTGTGCTAATATTCTTTGGACAATTGAATGCCTAAATCTTGTACTCTGAGTAACTAGCTTAAAGATAACAATATGCAATACATTAACCATTGATACTCTTCTATTTTGTTTTAATTTTTTTCTCTTAAAAAAAAAAAAAAAAAAAAAACAACCTGGATGTAGTGGCACATTCCTGTAATCCCAGCACTCAGGAGGCTGAGGTAGGAGGATAATTGCAAGCTGAGCTCAAGCCCAGCTGGAGCTGCATAGCGAGATCCTGTCTCAAAAACAAAACAAAACAAAGCCAAACAAACAAACAAACAAGCAAACAAAAAAATCCCAAACCAAAATAACAAGTGTTGACAAGGGTGTGTAGAATCTGGAATTTCTGCTGAGCATGGTGGTGCACACTGAAATTCTGTACTTTGGGAGACTGAGGCAGGAGGACTACAAAGTAAAGTCCCACTTGGGCTACTTAGCAAGACACTCTCAAAATAAAACATAAAAAGGGCTCAGGACATAGCTAGTGCGAAGGTCCTGTATTCAATCTCCAATATGGAGGTAGGGTTGGAACCTTTGTACAAGGCTGGTAGGAATATAAGAAATATACAATAGTAGAGACATTGTAGATGTTTCCTCAAAAAATTAAAGCTAGGGGCTGGGGATTTAGCTCAGTGGCATAAGCACCTGCCTGGCAAGCATGAGGTCATGAGTTCAACCCCCAATACAAAAGAAAATTAAAGATAGAATACTTTATGATCTATGAATTGAACTTCTAGATACATACTCAAAAGAACTGAAAATAGGGCCTTGAAAATATAGTTACATCCATGTCCATAGCAGATTTATTTTCTATTTTTTGGGTACCAGGAATTAAACTCAGGACCTCATGCTTGCCAGGCGGGCTGTGCTGCTTGCTACATCCCTGAGAGCAGCTCTAGTCACAATGATGAAAAGTTGGAAACAATTCGAGGATCCACTGCCTGATGAATATATAAACAAATGTGTGCATTCATACATGGAATGTTGCTGGGCCTTGAAAAAGGAATTTTGACATATGCCATACCACAGATGGAATTTAAGAATATTATGGTAAGTGAAATAAGCCAGTCGCAGAGACATGGTTCTCATATGAAGTGCTTAGAATAGTTAAAATCAGAGACAAAGTAGAAGGGTGATGGGGCTGAGAGAAGAATGGGGAGTAATTGTTTAACAGGTTTGGAGTTTTTCAGTTTTACAAAATGAAAAGCATTTCAGTGATGGGTGGTGGCAATGTTCAGTAACACGAAGGTCTCTAACATCACCGAAATGTGCATTTTAAAATGGTTAAGATGGGAAATTCTTTGCTGTGTCCATTTTGTGTACTTCATCACAAAAATGGACAAAACTCCATACAGGAGCAGATACGTTTCCTTTTGCTCCAGGCCACAGTGTGTCTTGGCATGCCTCTGTTGGATTTTGAAATCTGTTCATCATGGGATTTTTTTTTTACATTAACTCTGATTTTTAAAGTTATTTCCTTGTTATTTGTCCTGATTACTGAATTTTTTGGCTACAGTGTTTTGCACCCTAGATGAGTACCTCACTTGACTCACCCTAATCCCTGGCACAATTACTCCTGGTTTCAAGAGTTTCCATGATTCTTCATTACCTTCTAGAAAAAGTTAAGCCTTCCGCCTAGCCCTGGGCCCTGGGAACCTCCACCTCCCCTTGCCTGCTCCTGGCCCATTGAGCTCCTGTGGCAGTGACCTGCATTTCCAGTGCTTACCCTATTGTCCTTGCAAGAATAAGTCTCCACCTCAAAACATCTCTTGATTCAAGACTGTCCCAATGTACATTTCCCATAGCTACCAAGAGGCATAAGTTGGCCCCATAACTCCCAAGAGTAACCCTCATCCAGTCCAGCCAGACCCTTCTCTCTTGAAGACACCATCTTCCCACTTCATGTCCAGCCTAGCCCTGGGCATTTAATAAATGTCCAGTACTCACAATAATCCCTCCACCCCAAGAAAGAACATCTGGGATCTGGTGCACAGGTTTATTGCTGAATCTGTGGACCTATGGGAAGTGTGGATTGCACTCTGGCTTTGCCAGATTGAAGCTCCTTTTCTGAGCAGCAGCACAGCCCTGGCTCCTGGGCATAAGCAAAGACTCGATGCTTGATGAGGAAGGAAGGAGCAGGAAGGTGACGGATTGTAAACCTTTGTCCCCGATAGTTCAGGCATAGCCCTCAGTGTTCCTTACCAAGGAATGGGCCCTGAATGGAGAGGGTGAGAATGGCTGGCAGGGACAAAAACAATCACTTGGGTTTGCCTATAACCCTCAGGAGACAGATCCCTTGGGGCATAGTCTGGGCTCCATCCTATACTGAATCTTCAGCCTAGAGTTGATCAATAGGAGCTGGACTCTGCCCCAGCCACCCCTCAGGACCGCTTGACTATTGGGCATATCTGGTGTCAACAACAGTATCCTCTGGCAACACACAATCCACTTGGCCAGGCATCTCAGAGAACTGTGTGCTGGTGGGTGAGGTAGGGCATGGATTTGGGGTCCAAGGACAGAGGGGCAAGATCTGGAGGGGGAAGAGGGACATTCTGAGACTGTATTCAGAGACGGGTCCAGCTTGTGTTCCTTCTAACATCTAGGGGTGCCCAGATCTACCTCCCTAGTCACTAATTTATCTGTGTGGGGGCTGCACAAACCGGAGCTAGCTTAGACTTTGAACCCTCAAAGCTATGGGTAGGGACAGTTGCTGGCCACAGGGTAGGCAAATGTCAAACTTGTCACATGGAGGTGGCAAGGTTGGACTGCGCTGCTTGGGGGAGGGACACCACAAACCCTCCATAACTGTGGGAGGGAGGGCTATTTGGTGAACTCAGAACCTACCAGGTGAGTCTTGGACTCCAGGGGGCAAGAGAGTGAGTGGCAGGAGATTGGTCAGATGGCCACTGCTGAGTCCCTCTCAGCTCCAGTGGCCCTGAGTCCTGTTGTGTCCTTGCTAGGGAAGCCAGAGTAGCCTGGCAGTGAAAGGCAGAGCTGGGGCAGAAGTCACAGGGGAAGGTCTGTGCTGAAAGGCTCAGGGCTCAGAGCTTTGGGAGAAGTGTGGCATGTGTGGGCCCAGGAGTCCTGGACTGCTGATTGGTGGCTGGGGCTTGGGGCTAAGAGGCAGCTAGGACTACAGGGTCTCACAGCAAGGGATGCACAGGAGTTCAGACACCTGTGAGGAGAAAAGGGAACCAAGTCAGCATTCCTGAGACTCCATCTAAGTAGCTTCAGGCATTGGGGGACAGGAAGCAGAGGGGGCGGGGCAATCTCTGGAGGCTGGGACACTTAGGGGCTTGGGACAGTGAGTGGAGCCTGTGGAGCTGGGGTAGGGCCCGGAAGCCACGGGGTCAGAGAAAAGAGCATAGAGTGTGCGGTAGAGAGGGGCATGAGGCACAGTGGAGGAACGGGAAGCCCTGTGAGGATCCCACCTTAGAAGAGGCCGCAGTCTTTGAGATTCTCTTTGATGATGATGTCGGTGACAGCGTCAAAGACAAACTTGACATTCTGCGTGTCAGTGGCGCACGTCATGTGAGAGTAGATCTCCTTCACGTCCCGCCGCATGTTGAGCTCGAGGAACTGAACCTTGATGTAGTTGCCCGCGTCCTCATACGTGTTGGGCCCTGTGCAGAGCAGAGTGCGTGCTCACTAGCGCCTGCTGCAGCCCGCAGCCCCCGCAGGAGGAGAGGGAGTTTTGTGACCCGTACTGTGGGCCGGGGTCCAGCCTGCCTGTGGGCCACTCACCGTCATAGTCTGGGAAGCAGATACTGAGGTGCGCCTTCTTGATCTTCTCGGAAAAGACATCCTTCTTGTTGAGGAAGAGCACGATGGACGTGGTGGCGAAGTAGCGGTGGTTACAGATGCTGTTGAATAGGTGCAGGCTTTCATGCATGCGGTTCTGGGGAGGACAACAGCCGCTGAGCCCGAGTGACACGCGCCTGCAGCGCCCGTCGACCAGCAGGTGTCTCGGTCTCCGGATCGCGCCCAGGCTCACCTTTGCGTCCTGCCCTCCCCAAAGCCCTGCCAGTTCCTAGGCTCCGCGCAAAAGCGCAACGCACCACTTCGTCGTCCTCCACCAGCACCATGTCGTAGGCGCTCAGCGCAGCGATGAAGATGATGCAGGTCACGCCCTCGAAACAGTGGATCCACTTCTTGCGTTCTGAGCGCTGCCCGCCCACGTCGAACATCCTGCGGGGCCTAGGCTTAAACCTGCCCCCTGCCCTCCAGGATGCCCACCCGTTCCTTCCCTTCCCGCCCTGCCTCCCACTGGGGGTGCACCTGGAGGAGCCAGTCCCCCTTTCTGGCTGGCAGGGTCCCTAGCACTTGTCATCTCATGCGGCGCCAACCGTACCGGAAATTGAGGTCCTTGAAGGAGAACTGCGTTTCGATGATCCCGGTGGTCTTGACACGAGAGCGCAGCACGTCCTGCTCAGTGGGCACGTAACCCGGGGTTACCAGGCGCTCCAGGTCTGAGAGGTAGCTGTGGAAACCGCAGGGTAGGGGGCTGAGTGGGGGTCATGGGTGCAGCATCCCCTCCTCCCCGCCCTGCCCTGCCCACGTGCTCACTAGCCCGCCGAGTCATTGAGCTGGTACTCAGAGGCACGCTCAAAGCAAGCCTGGATGCCTGAGTCCTTCCACAGCCGCTGGATGATGTCTGACATCTCCTTGGGCATCGTGCCCTCCTCGATGGTATCAGCCATGTGCATCAGCTTCCGGGCATCGTCCTGAGACAAGGATGGAGCAGGGTTGGAGCAGGAGGTGGTGACTAGGGACTGCAGGACAGCCAGGTACTTACACCCTAAGGCCCCTCCAGCCTGCCTGCTGGCGCACCTGGCGCGCTGGGTCTCCATACTGGATATTGAGCGTGGTCATGGCTCGAACGATGGCCAGGATAGACTGCAGCGTGTTACCATAGATGATGGCAATGAACTCGAGGCACTCCTCCAGCGAGTACCCGTCCTGGTGGATAATCCTACAACCAGAGCAAGCAGGGTCACCTTGTGGCCTATGGTGCAAGACAAAAGCCAGTGCACACCCACCCCCAGGACCCTCAGGATGGAGCACTCACTTCATCTGCTTGACAATGGTGCTCTTCCCAGACTCACCAGCACCTGAAAAGGAAGCCGAGGGTCCCACAGTGACTTCCTGCCTCAACAGGGAGCCACACAGATGAGTTGGCTGGTGGACCAACAGCCTAAGGCATGACTAGCTAGTCCCCTAATGATACTTGCCCTCACTCCCATCCAAAGTAAGGTTCTGTAGGCAGGAGTGATATTGCACCTCTGTAATCTCAGCTCTTTGGAGGCTGAGGCAGGAAGATCAAAAGGCTGAGTCTAGCCTGGGCAATTTAGTGACCCTGTCTCAAAAATATAAATTTAAAGAAGGATGTAGGCCAGGGATATAGCTCAGCAGCACAAGCACCTGCCTGGCAAGCACAAAATATACGTTTGATCCCTAGAACCAAATCAATCAATAATAGTTCAGTGCAAAAGTTATGGGTTCAGTTCTTAATTTTAAAAAAAGGCCAGGCATGATGGCATATGTCTGCAATCCCAGCACTCGAGAGGCTGAGCCAGGAGAATCATTTCAAATTCGAGGCCAGCCAAGGCTACGTAGTGAGTTCAGGGCCATAGTGAGACTCTTCTCAACAACGACAACAAAAAAGTAAAATCAGGAAAGGGACTGAATTAGAGAAATCAGCAATGCCAGCTGTGCCGGGTGGGAAGGCACAGAATTCCCAAGACCAAAACACTAGATAAACAGCCTATTAAAAGAACATGGCCAAAATAAAGAAATCCTGGAGCACCACGTGGTGGTAATCTCTGGTACTACATTCACAAGATTATTTGAGCTGGAACAACCCTGCTTTTCCCTTGAAAGCAAGAAGACTCCAAGAGGCTCAGTGGGAATTATCGCCTGTGAGTGGAACAGAACTAACATCCCTTCTGAGCCTGTGCCTGCGAGGGTGTTGGACACAGTTAATGGGATTTCTGGTTTAGCCTCTCAACTCTCCTCCTCCACCCCTGGTTTAGTCTCTGCCCCACCCTCTTAAAGCAGTTCCTTGTCCCTGCGGACAGCAGGGCCCTGAGGCAGGCTTATACCCATGAGACCATGGAGTCAGCATTAGATTCCCCACAGGACTCATACCTTCAATACCTTTCCACCCTCGTTAGTGGCATTACGGATCTGTCACCAATGAAGAGCTGGCACATAGGGCCAACTGTGGGTCTGGGTGGTTCCTGAGCCACCCTGCTCCAGGAGAAATATGACCTTCTTCCCAAGGGAGCAAGCAGTACCATATCAAGCCAAGGCTGGAGTATGGGGAGCCTGGCCAAGGCAAGTGTGCCTGGCACACATGTCCAACAAGGGGCAGTACCCTCTGGAGTTGCCCATGGGATGCTCAGCCTTGGGGGCCTAGGATAGCACCTGTCAGGCCTGGCCTTGTCTGATTCCCACTTTGTACTGGACCCTGTCATGGTGCCACTCTTTCCCAAGGAATCCCTGTGTCACTGAGGACCAGGACCCATAGCATTCACCCCTGGACCCATGCCCCTACCCAGAAGCAGCAGTTTCACTGTTCGAGCATCCTTCTCAGCATCCTCTTTCAGCTTCTTTTCCAGCTCCCTGGAGTGCTTCTCCTCGGCACTAGCTCCAGCCCCCATGGTCCCAGCAGCAAGGGAAGGGACAGGGTGAGCAGGTGGCTCTTCTAGATGGAGGGGATCCTGAGAGCCTGACTCAGGCCAGCCTCTGGCCTCCCCAGATGCCCTTCTGGTAATAGATTGGCTCTCTATGGACCTGCACAGGCCTGGTGGGGCTGCTTAGTGGGATTTGGGAGCTAGGGTATCCAAGGGCCAATCAGAGACAAGGACAGGTGAAGCCAGCTCAGTCCCCCCAACCTTTCTAAGCAGGCTGGCATGGCCCCAATCCCTCAAGTGCTGACTCTGCGTTCTCCCCACCGCCACCCTGACATGGGGTAGCCTTTCCCCTGCCCCATAGCAAGGAAACATGTTTGGTAGGGGCTGGGCTAAAAGGACAGGCCCTCAATTGGGGGTGGGGTCCTGGGATGGGGCTGCAGCTGGAGGGTGTGCAGGGAGAAGCAGGCATAGAGAGCACCTGTGCCTGCCCAGCACCACTGCTTGTCCTGCTGGAATCTCACACTAGCCCAGGGGGATGGGTGCCCGTATCAAATCTTCCACCCCAAATCTTCCACTTCCTGATGAGGAAGTGCAGGCTCACCAGGTCACACAGCAGGCAGTTGTGGAGAAGGGTTGATTGGCTCTGGAGCAGGATTTTATGTCCTGCTGGGAAGCATCAGGGAAAAAGCAGGCGAATACACTCGCCCCATATTGAGGGCTGGATCTGATACCAGCAGGGCTTCCATGTGCTTCCAGGGGTATCAGTAACCATATACAACTGCTGTGTGCCTGAGTGTAGGCTTCTGTCCCTTACCAGCACTGTGCAAGGTAATGTTTTGACATGTGTGCCCTTTTGCCTGCGTGCATGGGTCCTTGCGTATGGTTTTGAGTGCATGTGCTCTTATGTCAGTGTTCATGTACCTTGTATGGATGTCTTTGTGTACACATGTATATATATGTACAGACTTGCCTTTTTTTAATTTACTTTATGGTTCTGGGAATGGAACCTAGGAACTCCAACTGCTAAGCCTATTCTCTACCACTGAACTACTTCCTCTAGCTTTCTATGCATTTCTTTACATGTGCTTGTGTGTAATATGTCTGTGTGGGTTTACATGTGTGCTTGAGTGTACAAATGCACATACATGTGCAGTGCATGTTTGGGTACCCTGCCCAGCTGCATGTCTGGGCACTCCAAGCATACCTGTGTATCCAAGTGTACAGGAGTGTACATGCTGCCCAGTGCGTGCCCATGCCTGTATGCATACATGTATTTGGATGCAGCAGTCACTGATCTGCCAAGGCAGCTGGGCACTTCCATCCAATCTTTTGCAGGCCTATGACTATGGTGAGTCTGAGGCCCAGGGCAGGTTGGTGCCCCTGAGAGCCTGGAAAACTGTCATTGGTGTTCTGGGACCTATCTAGCAGAACCTGCCTGCTTCAGCTTAAGGTTCAGAGCCCTGTTGAGATATAGCCTGTTATTGAAGGGGTCCAGGGCGAGCCTGTAGGGCTAAGCTCTCAGATTCCAAGGATTCTGCCCCTGATCCCCTCAGGAATCCAGCGGGTCTCTCCGGGGGACTGTAGCCTCCTAGGGACTCATTTCCTTCACTTGGCTGCCTCTCAGTACTCAAGTCTGCCACAAACTCAAGAGACCACGAGGGGGTGCCAGGGCCCCAGACACAGCACTGAGGCTCTCCCCAAGCATGACATATGGAGAGCAGAGTGGTGTCTACCACAGCAGCTTTGACATCCATCCTGTTGGGTGATAAGAGGATTTGTCCAGGAGCAGACTGTTCACTTGTGCCACTTTCAGCTTCTGGGCTCCCACATCCCTCACCCCTCCATGGTAAGTGGGTCCAGGGGGTCTCTGTAGCTCTTAATACTTCCTGGGAATCAGAGGAGTGCCGAAGCCAAACCCTGTTAAAACCAGAACTTGTTTTTTTTGTACTGGCCAGGTTTTTTCTTTTTCTAAATGGGGCCAATCCACTGCCTCTCTGCTCTTCCACATCCCCCAGATGTGGCTCTAACTCCTCCCCCAATCCTCACCACCAAGGAGAGAAGCCAAAGTCTAGTCCCAGAGCCAGTGTTTATTAGCAAGATGGAACCCAAAGACGGTTGTGGCCTGGGCAGCAGAGGGCCACCAGGTGCCCCCACCCATCTCCCAAAATGCCCCCAGAGCTATTTACACCCAGCACCTGCAGTGGGCGGGGGGAGGGTGGAGTGGGGCAGACAGGAGCCTTGGGGAGCCCCTGCAGGCCCCAGGCCTCCACCGTGGCCCCTCTAACCTCAGGACTGGGGTTCTCTTCAGCCCTGTTGTGCCTGGCCCCATTGTCACTTCCCCAGCCTCCAAGTCAAGGAGGCCCAGGAAAAGCTAAGGAGGTAGAGTGGGGCAGCCCTGCCGTGGGTAGGCAGGGAGAAGATAAAAGACTGGCGGTCTTGTCCCACCGAGGCTGGACTCTTCTCCTGTCCCCAATAAATAGAGAATAAATACCTGGTAAGGGCTGGCCTTAAATGAGTGCCCCAACCCAGGCAGGGGGCCCTTTCTTCCCTTCTCTGAATGCCCTGAGCCACCACCCCAAGACTTCAACATAGTCCTGGCCTCCATGCCTATGCCACAGCAAGGCTGACAGCACACTGTCAAAGGTGTATGGTTCACGGCCTGTGGAGTAGGACTCTTTCCCTCCCTGTGTTCTGTAGATTTTGGAGGTGGCCTTGAGTGAGCAGATTTCCGGCTGAGCCCAGGAACTGTGTGGTCCTGGCTTGGCCCAACCAACTCATTGGGATTGGTTAGGTGGGCTCAGTTTTCTGCCATCTCTGATCAGCATGGGTCTAGGTCCTGGATGTTGCCAGTGAGGCAAGCTATATACAACCCACCAATAAATACTGTCTTTGCAGGGGTAGGGTGTGTATAGAATATAGATTTTATATATATATATATATATATATATATATATATATATATATATCTTTTATATTAAAAGGGATGAGGGCTAGGCTGATCCAGTGCAGGGCTCAGGCAGCTGGCCTCATGTGTCCGGAGGGTGGTGTCGGCGATTCCGGGGCTTTTTCTGGTCCTGAGGTTCAGGAGGCTTGAGGGCCCCTGGGGCCTCTCTGGGACTTGGGGGCACATGACGCCAGTAACCCTGACAGTACTGGTGGATGAGGCCCACTTCAGGCTGGGCCAGCAGCTGGGCCAGCTCCTGGTAAGGAGGTGTGGGGGGACCTGTGCCAGGAGGTGTTGGAGCACTCGCAGCCAGCAGAGGGAAGAGGGCAGCATGGACAGCATCCTGGCCCAGTATGTGCAGCTGTACCCGCGTGACGACGTGCTTGAAGTTGTTCTCAGTGGCCGTGCAGGAGTAGAGGCCGCGATCACTAAGTTGCAAGGCGCGAAGCAACAAGCCCTGCTCTGTGCGCAGGAAGCGCTCCTCTGCTCGGATCTGCAGGGGCAGGGGTTGGGGCTCAGGGGCTGCGTGACCACTCTGCTGCCCCTGCCAGCAGCCAGATGAGACCACTTTCGTGGGGTACCACAAGCGGAATTTATATATTCCCCCCCAAAACCCACATGAAGTTCCCACTAATGAGGTCACTGCATAAAGTATTCACACATTTAAGAGGAATGGCCCTGAGAGGGCGCTGTCCAAGGAATGAGAGAATTTTAGAACACACACATAGAATTTTCATTTAATGACAACACCCAATTGTGGCCCCACATAGAATTTACATGTAAAGGAGGGCACCTGTAAGGCTTCTGCACAAACGAGGGCTAGCCACACAATTCCCGTCCACTGACGCTCAACCACGTGATGTACCACACAAGGGTGCACTCCAGCGGGGTGCGCATATGACATTTTCACGAGCAGAGGCAATCCAGGAAATGGTTCCCATATGGCAAAGCCTATCCCAGAGTTTCTACTTCACTAGTTCTACTCAAGCAATTTCCACATAGGAAAGGGAGTCTGAGAGGTTTCCCAGAGTGAGGACGGCCCCATATGGGGTCCTATAGTGCCTTCACCCACACTGAACTTCCACTGTACCAGGGACTCTCGCTTCCACAGGAAGAGGGGTGCAGGAACTCACCTCTCGGCGCCGGTCACCAGGATCTCGCTGGAAAAGCCACTTAACGGTGGCCTGTGGGGAGCGGGGCTGGCACTCCAGGAAGGCTGTGCTGCCTACCACACCATACTGCACGGATTCCACAGCATTCTTGTTGGCTGCAGAGCAGGAGGGCACTGAGTGGAAGCAACAAGGCCCAGAACAGTCCCATATCTGGTAAGGGGCGGGCACCAAGGGGCACTCACCCACAGAGGCAGAATGCTGCCACTGGGCATCACCCCTGAGGGAGCATCACAACTAAAACTTCAGGAGCCCTTACTCCCCACTCAGCATCTTCAGGGCCTCAGAGTTGGGGTGCTATGAGCAACTGCATGGGCCACCGAGGCTCCATAGTTGTTCAAGGAGCACCCAGGGGGAGGCAGAGCACACTCACCATTGGAGTTGAACCCACGGCACTGCCTGATGGGGTTCCCATGCCGGACGTCCTGCCGGCGGCTCCGCCTAGGTGAGAGTAATTCCTGAAAGTGTGCGTCCAGGAAGTGTGCCCCAGCTCCCTGCACGCCCAAGAATCCAGGGTAGGGCCCTGTGTCTCCAGAGCTGTGATGCCCACAGACAACACCAAATTGGATCACATCCATCTTCAAATCCCCAGGACAGGGTCCAAAATCCCAAAGGTCTGGGGTTCATACCATTTTTTTTTTTTTGTGATGCTGGGGATTAAACCTAGGGCCTCGAACACACTAGGCAAGTGCTCTGCCACTAAGCTACAACCCTAGTCCCAGTCCATACCTTTTGGAAGAAGCTGTGTAGCGGGAGCAGGCCTGCCCATCCCAGGCACAGTAGGGGTCCCTGGCAAGGCAGCAGTCGGCACAGGCAGCCCCATATGCATGGCAGCGGTGCAGGCTCAGGTGTGTGACACCCACAGCTGAGGCCACGTACAGTTGTTGCTGGGGGCCAGGGCAAAGCCTTGTCAGTTTCTTCCCACAGACAGCAGCCTACATCAGAAGCTAGTTGGGTTGGGCCCTCCCCCCCCACCTTTGGTGATACAAGAGATTGGACCTAGGGTCCCATGCATGCTAG